AATGTTGAGCTGAATGTGCAGCTGCAGAGTCTGAAGAAAGATCTGGAGGAGAAAGAAAATCTGCTGCAACAGGCTCAGTGAGTCTTACAATATCAACAAATACACACACACACACACACACAACACACAACACACAACACACACACACACAACACACAACACACAACACACACACACACACAACACACACACACACAACACACACACACACAACACACAACACACACACACACACACAAACACTCACACACAAACAAACACTCTCACACACACACACACACACACACACACAACACACAACACACAACACACACACACACAACACACAACACACACACAACACACATACACACACACAAACACTCACACACAAACAAACACTCTCACACACACACACACACACACAAATGTATATACACATTAGTATATGTACTCACCAGTACATACTCACTAGTTTATACTCACTAGTATATATATTCACTAGTATATACTCACTAGTATATGTACTCCCTAGTATATACTCACTAGTATATGTACTCACTAGTACATACTCACTAGTATATGTACTCACTAGTACATACTCACTAGTATATACTCACTAGTACATGTACTCACTAGTATATGTACTCGCTAGTACATACTCACTAGTATATATGTACTCACTAGTACATACTCACTAGTACATACTCACTAGTATATACTTATTAGTATATGTACTCACTAGTATATACTCACTAGTGTATGTACTCGCTAGTACATACTCACTAGTATATGTACTCACTAGTATATACTCATTAGTATATGTACTCACTAGTATATACTCATTAGTATATGTACTCACTAGTATATATAAATATATATATATATATATATATATATATATATATATATATATATATATATATATATATATATAGCATAATACATATCAAATTATATAATGTTTTAAAGTATCGCCCTTTTTTCTGAAGTGCCACATTAGAGCTCTTGTCCAATCAAAATGCAGAGGAGCAGCAGCAGCGAGATGAAGCCACCAATCAGGTTCAAGCGTCTTTGGAGGCCCGCCTCCAACAACTGCAGCAGGTGAATAAGACTGAAGCTGATTGGGTGACAGGTGGGTGACAGGTGAGGTGGGTGACAGGGTTAAACATCTGTTTGTGTGACAGGAGCTGGAGCAGAGACGTCAGAGTGAGATGTCACAGCAGCGTCTGCACAAACAAGCTCTGGAGCATAAAGACAGGTGCCGCTTTGTAAACTTAATATTTATTTATTCTTTATTTCAGACACTGTTTTATTATTATTATTATTATTATTATTATTATTATTATTATTATTATTATTATTATTTAGTCCATAGTTAAAAAAGAAAGTTTAGGGGACTAACCCTTTGGTCTGTTTTTCAGAGTGATTTTGGAGCTGACGTCAGAAAAACTAAAACTTCAGCAGAAAATTCAGGAGCAAAACTCTGCAAGGAAAAGACCCCACTCCCCACAGGTACTACAAGTACTACAAGTACTACACAGTACAACAAGTACTACACAGTACAACAAGTACTACACAGTACAACAAGTACTACAAGCACTACACAGTACTGCAAGTACTACACGGTACTATACAGTGCTACAGCTTATTTGTACAGCACAACTTGTACACAAAGTAATTCAAAGTGCTTTACAGAATCAGAAAAACATTCAAATCACAATAATAATAATAATAATACGATTATTATTATTATTATTATTAGTAGTAGTAGTAGTAGTAGTAGTAGTATTATCAGTATTATTTACACAAAATATAAATAATCATCATAAAATTCAAAAGAGAAACATTCAATTCGAGAGAAAAGTGCAGAAAGAAAAATGAAAACATTTCAGTGAAACGCAGCAGAACAGAAACGAACAGAGTCACGGTCGAGTCACAGTCAACTCGAGTCGCGGTCGAGTCGAGTCGCGGTCGAGTCGAGTCACAGGTTCAGTCGAATCACAGGTCGAGTCGAGTCACAGGTTGAGTCACAGGTCGAGTCAAGTCACAGATTGACTCGAGTCACGGTTGAGTCACAGGTCAAGTCGAGTCACAGGTCGAGTCGAGTTGCAGGTTCTGGATGTTATGCAGCATCTCCCTGCTCGTTTGGACAGTGACAGGTCATCACAGGTCGTCACAGGTCGTCACAGGTCGTCACAGGAGTTAAACTTCCTGGAGACAAACGCAGGGACGAGTCTCTCAAGTCTGATTCTGACTTTTACATGTATGTCTGTTTCATGTGTGTGTCTGTACGTGTGTGTGTGTGTGTGTGTGTGTGTGTGCGTGTGTGTGTGTCTCTAAATCTTAAATATAAAGACCTCTTCCTCTAAACCCTTTTTCTTGTTTTTTTTTTTTTTTTTTTTTCTAGCGCGAGACTGAACAGAGGGACCACTCCGAGCTGAAGGTGAGACACTGCGCCCCCTGCTGGACTTTACACACAAATACACGCAGAGGGACCACTCTGAACTGAAGGTGAGACACTGCGCCCCCCTGCTGGACACTGCGCCCCCTGCTGGACACTGCGCCCCCCTGCTGGACACTGCACCCCCCTGCTGGACACTGCGCCCCCCTGCTGGACACTGCGCCCCCTGCTGGACTTCGCCCGTGTGATCGTTGTTCAGTTTTCATGAATCCTGTGGCCGAACACTGAAAGTCCAGAGAAAATCCGGTCTGTGGTTTTAATCCGAACAAACACGAAGAGCGCTCCTCGTGACCGCGCTCTGTCAGCGCGTGACCGCGCACTGCCGCATCCCTCTACGCGCACGCGCATCTTTCTGTCCGGAAAAGGCCGAATCAAACCCGAAGTCCACCCGAACCAAGGACTGGACCGTCTCGGATGCACCGCGGCCGTCTGTCCCCGGGATCAGGGCGCGTTTACGGCTTTGTGTTTGTGCCGTGGGCCTCAGCGGAGACACGCGGCTCCTCTGAGACGCGCGGGAGGAGGAGCATCTGTGGGCGGACAGACACCGCAGGAAACACCGCAGGAAACACCGCAGGAAACACCGCCGTTTCTCCGCGGGTGTCACTAGGACGGGGTCTTTGGCGCGCGGGTTTTTAGGGCAGATTTCGGACACCTGCGGTTATCGCTGTTGCGCGAGGAGCGGAACACGCACGAGCAGCGGGACACGCCGTTACGCGCGCGGAGAAAGACGCATCTTTGCCGTTTTTACGCCTTTACCATGAGCACGTGACCTGCGTTAGTTACATTAATGCAAACATTTAAAAATCATCGTTCTGATTTAGACACACACCTGGAGTATTTTAACACACACACAGACACACACACACACACACACACACAGGTCAGGAGGATGCAGGAGCGGTGTCGCGTGTGAAAATTTGTGAAGGTTACAGGTTAAGGGGTCAGTGTCGGGGTCAGGGGTCAGTGTCGGGGTCAGGGGTCAGCAGGATGCAGGAGCGGTGCCGCGTGTGTGCGCAGGTGCTGTGCGGCACACAGCGCAGGTGGCTGTTTCACTGCGGCGCCAGAGGCAGCCTGCAGGTGGCGCTGTGTCACGCCGTGGGCCGGGAGCTGCTCCGCGACGGTCGCTCCGAGTTCGTCTGCTCCAAATGCGCCTTCGTTTTGGAGCGAATGTTCCGCTGCGATACTGTGGTGCGCAGAGTGGTGGCGCTGTCCCTGGACACGGTGCACAGGCTCCTGCTGGAAAAGCACCGACTCAAGGACAGTGTGAGCCGGAAGTACCACAAGAACAACCCCGAGTCCGAGCCGGGACCCGAGCCTAGACCGGGGTCTGGGCCTGGACCTAGACTGGAGTCCAGTCCTGGGCCCGGACCAGAGTCCGAACCAGAACCTAGACCGGAGTCCGGACCTGCCGCAGACCAGCAGGTGCAGTACCTGCGGCTCGTGGAGGAGGACCTGTCTGAGCTGGAGTGGTGGGCGGAGTCAGAAGAAGACCACGCCCCCTGGCGCAAGTGCAGGGGCTGTGCGGCCCTGAGAGTCCCGGACTCGGACTATGAGGCGGTCTGTGGGGTCCCCCGTGGTTCGGGGCGCAGGAGCACCTCTTGTGGACCCCGAGTGAGGTCTGAGGAAACGAGGGGACCTCCAGAGACGGATTCCACACAGAAGACCTCTGGTCCTGGGCAGGAGCCACAGCGACGGGTCCCTAAAGCTCTGGAGGTCCTCACGGAGAAGAGACTCAGAGGGAGCAGGCTGCCGGTCCGGATCAGGACCAGATCTGAGACGCAGGAAGTCAGGTCTCAGACACAGGAAGTGAGGTCACAGATGCAGAACGTGATGTGGGCGGAGCTTGAGGAGATGAAGGACGACTGGAACGATGAATATGTTCAGTGTGGTCCCTTTAGGTTTCAACAGGTACTAAACCAGGACTAAACCAGGTCTAAGCTGTGACTAAACCGTGACTAACCCTGGTCTAACTTGGGCTGACCCGGTCTTGTGTCCAGAGGGTGCTGGAGGAGCAGAGTGGGCAGCTGAGTCACTGTGAGGTGACGTCAGAACAGTGTCTGAAGGAGCTCCAGGACGCCCAGAACCAGGTCCGGACTCTGCAGACCAAGATCCGGATCAGTGAGGACCGCAACAGGGTGAGTGCTCCTCAGATGCTCACAGGTTTCAGCCAACGGACCCTAAAGCCCTGAACCCTGACCAGATCTGGTTATGATCCTGGTCTTAACCCTCAGATCTGGTTTTGATCCTGGTTGTGTTGCAGATGCTGCAGAAGCGTCTCGGGGAGATGGAAGTTGAACTCAGAATCGTGCGAGAAGAAGCTCAGAATCAGGAGAGGAACCTGCAGAATCTGACAGACTCTCTGTGCTCCAAAGATCAGGAGGTAAAGACCGGGACCAGGACTAGATCAGGACTAGAGTGGAAGTAAACCAGGACTAAACCAGGACTAAACCAGGACTTCACCAGGACTAGAGCAGGTCTTACTCTCCTTTGGGTCACAGGTGGCAGATTTGCTTCGAGTTGTGGAGGATCAGAACCGAACGCTGTCGACCGGCCTCGCACAGGTGAGCTCTGATTGGTCTGTGTCACTGAGGGGGCAGGTCCGAGGGCTCTGATTGGTCTGTGTCACTGAGGGGGCAGGTCCGAGGGCTCTGATTGGTCTGTGTCACTGAGGGGGCAGGTCCGAGGGCTCTGATTGGTCTGTGTCAAAGGCCACATTTACATGATGTTTTCTTAATTCCAAATTAATATTTCTGAAATCAAATCTTCTCTTGGAGTTTCCATGGAAATAATAATGTTTTCTTGTTGTTTCATGTTAAACTGGTGAAATGTTTTTATTTAATGTGTCTGAGCGTCTGGACGTTGGGGAAGGTTCTGATTTTACAGAGACACGATGTGAAATGAAAACGTGAAACATCCAGGAAGAAATTCATTCATCTTTAAAATCAGAATAAACCAAACACTTACTTCACAATTAAGTTTAATTCCCAATAATAATTTTCATTAGGAATTAAGTGTTTACATGGACTTTTTAAAGCGGAATTCAGTTTTATTCAGAATTAAATTATTTTATTCATATTTAAAGCTTCTCGTGTAAATGTGGACACTGTAGTTTTATTTTTAATCCTCTGGACACTTTATTTTTCTGAAATAACTCGTTCTGATTGGTCGCTCACTGTTGCTTCTTCTCTGATTGGCCCAGGTAAACCCAGGTGACGCTGCTGCCGTCCAATCAGAGCTTTTCTCTCTTCAGCTGGCCTTAGACTCCGCCCACCGAGCCCTGAGGACCCGAGAGCGGACCGAAAAGGACCTGAGGGGGGCACTAGAGCGAGTCGAGTCCGACCTGAGGGGGGCGCTCCAGAGGGGCAGAGAGAGACTGCAGCACAACCAGGTCAGAGACCTGGACTAGCCCTGGTCTAGTCCAGGTCTTTTTGTAAAACCCACTGTTGTTTTATTTTGAAGGAGCTGGTCCAGATCCTGGATCAGACCCGGACTCATCTTAGGGACTCAGAGGAGCAGCTGAGGGACCAACAGAACCAGGTCAAGAGACTGAACCAGGATCATAACCAGATCATCGGGGATCTGAAGGAGAGGCTCAGACAAAAGGAGGAAATGGTCCAAGTACAAAAGGACCTTTTGGAGTCCACAGACCAGGACTCCCAGGTCCAGAAACTCAGACATGTCCTACAGGACCGAGAGCAAGACCTACAGGTGAACCAGGACTAAACCAGGACTAGACCAAGACTAGACCAGGACTGAACCAAGACTAGACCAAGACTAGACCAGGACTGAACCAGGACTAAACCAGGACTGAACCAGAACTAAACCAGGACTAGACCAGGACTGAACCAGGACTGAAATGGGTCTAACTCAGGTTTCTCTTCCAGAGGGTCTTGTTGGACCGGACTCGGTCTCTGGCTCAGTCTAAGGAGCTACAGGAGCTTCTGAGGGACAAAAACCAGGACCTTCAAACTCAGAAACAAGTTCTGCTCAGCAACCAGGAAACCATCAGGGTAAGAGCTTAGTCCTGCTTTAGTCCTGCTTTAGTCCTGCTTTAGTCCTGCTTTAGTCCTGCTTTAGTCCTGCTTTAGTCCTGCCTTAGTCCTGCTTTAGTCCTGCTTTAGTCCAGCTTTAGTCCTGCCTTAGTCCTGCTTTAGTCCTGCTTTAGTCCTGCTTTAGTCCTGCTTTAGTCCTGGTCTACTTTGGGTTTAGTTCTGGCTCAGTCCTGGGGCCTCATTTATAAAAACTGCGCAGGAGTTGTGGTAAGTTAGTGCGTACGTCTGTAGCTACGACAGGCGTGCGCCACGCAAACTCCATATTTAGAAAACCCACCGCACGCACCAAACCTGCAATCTTTGCTTTATAAATCCACCTGCAACTACAATTTGTGCACGTAAACCTACGTCACGTCACGCCCTCTCCACACCTCCACCTCACCATAAAAGGACAGACCACGCCCCCTCACACCTCCACCTCACCATAAAAGGACAGACCACGCCCCCTCACACCTCCACCTCACCATAAAAGGACAGACCACGCCCCCTCACACCTCCACCTCACCATAAAAGGACAGACCACGCCCTCTCCACACCTCCACCTCACCATAAAAGGACAGACCACGCCCCCTCACACCTCCACCTCACCATAAAAGGAGCAGGTAAAGTGACTGGTGAATGAGATTTCCCTAAACATGAGCCGATAATCAGACACGCGGGACAGAGGGAGGAGGAGGCTCCACGCGGCACCACGTGATCACGGCAAAGACTTTATTAAAGACTTTATTAAACTTTGTTTAATAAATAAACACAAAACTAAAAGTGACAACAATGACTCATCTGTTCATTTAATCATATTTCATAATATTTAGGCAGAACATCTTTGCAGTAAAGACCATGTGTTTTTTCACTGTTTCAAGAGTTTTATCGCTATATTTTTAAGTCTGTCTATGAAGTGTGTGAGGACTGGCCCTGTATTTATGCATATAAACATAGATACGTGCACGCGTTCATTAAATCAAAGTCTGGCTCCTGCTGTGTCCAAGGGAAGAGTTTTTCTCTCAGGTCGGGTCATTATTTCGTCCTCTGTGTTGGTCAGTCTGTGTTTTATAAAGTCTGTGGTCGTGGTGTGGACTGTGGGACTCTGCGCTACACCGAGTCCGGGAACGTGGCCGCGCTCGTGCACGAGTGTCAAATGTATAATATTGTGGAGAATAATGAGTGGAATAAACAGACCTGCTCCGTATTTTGTGAACCAAACACTTAAATGCACAAATCAGAAGGTAATTCTTCTATATACGTGGATTTTCTGATCAAACTCTTCCTCAAACTCTGTTCACTTCTGCTTCTCTCCACGAGTGTCACTTTTTCCCCGTGTCTCCAGACTTTGCGTAGAACTTACAGGAGGTTCCCAAGTTGGCGTAGAGTTAAGCAAAGAGCCACGCCTTAGGCGAGTTTTATAAATACCGCGGTTGGCGTAGGAAGCGCGCACGCATGGATTTTTGCGTAAGCAAGTTTTATAAATGAGGCCCCTGGTCTAACCCTGGTTCTCTTCAGTCCCTGGAGGTTCTGGTCCGGGGGCAGAGTCTGCAGGTGGAGCAGCTCAGGGACAGTCTGAGGAAGTCCGGACTAAAGGAAGAGCTGGTCCAGTCTGAGCTGAACCGGTCTTTATCTGAGCGGGACTCTGTGGTCCGAAGTCTCCAGGAAATCCTGCAAGAGAGGGACCAGGAAGTGCAGGTTTGCCTTCACAATAAGAGCCCACACTTTTGAATGTTCCATGTTAAAGCTTTAATTTTGTGACCTGCCAGGACCTGCGCTCATTTCTTTCCCAAAATCCTTTGCTCCCTGATGATGTCATGCACCAGCTCAAGCTCCGCCTCCAGCTCAAGGACCGCCTCCTACAGGAAGTGATGTCACAGCGGACACGACAGATCCAGGAACAGCAAGACCAGGTCCAAGAACTGACCCGGACCATCGACCAACGGGACCAGTACATCCAGGTACTGGTTTAGTCCCAGTTTAGACCTGGATTAGTCCTGATTTAGTCCCGGTTTAGACCTGGTTTAATCCAGACTTGGTTCCTCTTTCCTCACTTGCTTCCTTGTCTCCTCAGGACTTGTCTCCTCGTTTCCTGGAACTCTTAAAGGAACAAAGCGACACTCTGAAAGAGCTCCGCACACAGCTGAGCTCTGGACTAAACCCCGACCAGAACCTGGACCAGAACCCGGACGAGGATCTGGTCAAGGATGAGGTCTGGATTCTGAAGGAGCAGTTGAAGAAGACTCAGGAACATCAACACCAAACCCAGCAAGATCTAGAGGACAAAAACCACCTTGTAAAGGTACAGAAACCAGAACTAAACCAGGACTAAATCAGGACTAAACCAGGACTAAACCAGGACTAAATCAGGACTAAACCAGAACTAAACTAGAACTAAATCAGAACTAAACTAGGACTAAATCAGAACTAAACCAGAACTAAATCAGGACTAAACCAGGACTAAACCAGGACTAAACCAGAACTAAACTAGAACTAAATCAGAACTAAACCAGAACTAAATCAGGACTAAACCAGGACTAAATCAGGACTAAACCAGGACTAAATCAGGACTAAACCAGAACTAAACCAGGACTGAATCAGAACTAAACTAGGACTAAACCAGGACTAAACCAGAACTAAACCAGGACTAAACCAGGACTAAATCAGGACTAAACCAGGACTAAACCAAAACTAAACCAGAACTAAACTAGGACTAAATCAGAACTAAACCAGAACTAAATCAGGACTAAACCAGGACTAAACCAGAACTAAACTAGAACTAAATCAGAACTAAACCAGAACTAAATCAGGACTAAACCAGGACTAAACCAGAACTAAACTAGAACTAAATCAGAACTAAACCAGAACTAAACCAGGACTAAACCAGGACTAAACCCATTCTGAACCAGTTTTTCTTTTTCTGCAGAAGCTGGTGTTGGAGCTCCAGAGGCTGAGAGGCAGGCTTCATGCAGACTGTGACCCAGATCGAAGCCTCATTTTGGGGTTGGAGTCTGAAGAGGAGGTCCCTGTGTCTGGAGGTGTGGACTTCTCCGTGTGAGACGGACATGTGACTTTTGGGAATGTGGTGGTGCTTAATAAAGTTTGCTGCTTTGGAACTAACTAGAGGCTGTGGTGCATTCTGGGAAATGTATGCTGTGTCTAACTCACACCTGCACAATACACGCTGCACACTAATAAAACACTAACCCTCACAGCAGAGAAGGTCCTAACCCTCACAGCAGAGAGGGTCCTGGTCCTAACCCTAACCCTCGCAGCAGAGAGGGTCCTAACCCTCGCAGCAGAGAGGGTCCTAACCCTCGCAGCAGAGAGGGTCCTAACCCTCGCAGCAGAGAGGGTCCTGATCCTAACCCTAACCCTCGCAGCAGAGAGGGTCCTAACCCTCGCAGCAGAGAGGGTCCTGGTCCTAACCCTAACCCTCGCAGCAGAGAGGGTCCTAACCCTCGCAGCAGAGAGGGTCCTAACCCTCGCAGCAGAGAGGGTCCTAACCCTCGCAGCAGAGAGGGTCCTAACCCTCGCAGCAGAGAGGGTCCTAACCCTCGCAGCAGAGAGGGTCCTAACCCTCGCAGCAGAGAGGGTCCTGGTCCTAACCCTAACCCTCGCAGCAGAGAGGGTCCTAACCCTCGCAGCAGAGAGGGCGCTGAACGCTGTGGGCGACGTCACACTCACTTAGAAGACTTTTTTATACGGTTTATGGTCCTGACCTGAACCCGAGCGTGTCCTCTTCCTCTCTGCAGTACCTCCAACAGACACTAGAGGGAGCAGGTCCATGATGTACATCAGGGGTCTCCACACGTTTTTCTCCAGGGAGCTTCTTTACAAAACAAAACTGTAAGAGAGCGACTAACTTCAGCATCACAAAGAAACTGAGTAGAAGAGCCACGGCCTGTGTGGTTCAAAGTTCCTGTTTAACCCCAAATCCAGAGTTATGTTAATGTTTTGAGCGTAAACAGGAGTTATCCTGATTTAACTAAACAACACACAGAGGTGTTTTATTTTTACACTTTATTTGATTTTATATAACATTTTGGGGAGTAGTAAAAACACACTGTAAACACATTCAGTGCATGTAAAGCCTTTCTTTAGCCTTTTCTTTAAAACATTTGTAAAAGATGAAATTCAGAACAAAACCGGTTCAAACTGTGGTGGGAGTTTGAGGTGGTGGGAGGAGACACATTAACAACAGGAGAAGAGACTTCGGTCGATAAAAAACACAGTACAGAGATTTCCACAAGATGAGCCCCCGGGCAGGAGACGAAAGTAACACAACGTAGAAACCAGACGCCTGGATCCTGCAGCCACAAAGCGCTGGATCCAACAGACCCGCCCACCGGCCGGGGGGGGGGCACCGCGCCGCCGGTTATTTATATATCAATAAATGTGTAAGAGTAATTTATTTTGTTTTACCCTCAGACGAGGACACTGCAGAGTTCAGAGGCCCTCAGAGGCACAAGGGACCTCAGTGTGGACCTCAGTGTGGACCTCAGATGTTGGAGCAGCTCCTGCAACAGAAAAAAGCTGTTGATCGAGAACTCCATGAACTCAAGACCCAAGTCCACAAGACCGGCTTTTCCTCCCTGTCCCAGATCAGGTCAGGATCAGAACCAGACCTGAGGGTCCAGACCAGGATCAGAACCAGACCTGAGGGTCCAGACCAGGATCAGAACCAGATCTAAGGGTGAACTGCTAAACACTCTGTGTTTTACAGAAAAGCCCTTTTGGACCTGAGGACCCAGAACCAGAAACTGAGATGGGAAGTGATGTCACAGCGAGAGGAAGTGATGTCACAGCGAGAGGAAGTGATGTCACAGCAAGAGGAAGTGATGTCACAGCGAGAGGAAGTGATGTCACAGCAAGAGGAAGCAATGTCACAACAGGAGGAGCACTCCGACCAGTGGGAGGCCTGGGATTCGGAGCTGACCTTTGACCCCGCACAGGTTAGGCTCAGGGTTAGAGGAACGTTGGTCTCGTCTCTGAAAGTTTAGAAAAAAAGAACAAAGACAAAAATGTTAAATGTTAAAAACTCATTTGTGTTTTTCAGAACTCAACGATTCCCCAGGAGTCTCCTCTCCACCGTGAGTCTCCAGTGTGTCCCTGTCCCTGCCCCTGTCCCTGTCCCTGCCCCTGTCCCTGTCCCTGCCCCTGTCCCTGCCCCTGTCACTGTCCCTGTCTGCCCTGTCACTGTTCTGTCTGTGTCCTGCAGGTGGCGCTGTGGATCTGGGATATGAGACGTGTGAGAAAAGTGAGACGGAGGCCGAGAGGGACACAAGCAGCCCAGGTATCACAAGTACTACAAATACTACTATTAGGAATACTACTACTGCTTCTGCTACCAGTGCTAGGAAACCCCTAGTCCGGGTCAGGTCCCGGGTCAAGTCCCGGGTCTAGGTATGGGTCAGGGCCAAGTCCGGGTTGGGTCGAGTCTTTGTAAAAACGTGTTGTGTTTCAGAGTTCGATGACCTGGAGATGTGTCTGTCTCTGGATCACGGCTCAAACTGGTGGAACACCCAAGGCTGGGACCAAGACCATGACCAAGATCAGGACCAAAACCAGGATGAAGACCTGGACCAGGATCATAACCAGACCCCGACCCTGAGTCCAGACCACAGCGCCCATCACAGGCCTAGAGAGGTACAGGAGCTGCAGAAGCTTGTGCAGCATTTGAAGTCTGAGCTGAACCGGTCTAAGATCCAGGTCCAGAGACTCCAGGTCCAGAGACTCCAGACCTCACTCAGGCCTCAGTCTGAGGCCGGGTCCAACATAGATCCAGACCTCGCAGACCTGTTGAACCGTGTGGAGACCCTCGAAAACCAGATCAAGACTGAACCAAGGACTGAGAACAAAGACAAGAGCAAAACTGGGTAAGAAACACATAGAGGGTCAGAGGGTCAGAAGGTCAGAAGGTCAGAGGGTCAGAGGAAGAGAAGAAGAGAGAAAGAGAGGGTCAGAGGAGCAGGTGAGATCTTCTGCTCCGTCTCTACAGGTTCCTGGCTGTGGTCCACCTTCAGGCTCGGGAGCTGTCTCACCTGCGGCAGGTCCTCAGAGAGTCCCGGGGCCTGGTTCAGATCTTGGTCCAGAGTTTGTCTGAACATCTCAAAGGTCTTGAGTCTCTGCTGACATCCAGAGAACCAGACTACAGCCTGGGCCAGAAGCTCAGAGAAGATCTGCAGGAGCTCCACCGAGTCATGGAGAGACTGTCCACCAAGATCAGCCTGAGTCAGTACTATGTGTACTTCTATACTACTACTATAGTACTACTACTATGATACCACTACTACTACTAGTACTACTACTACTACTACGATACCACTACTACTACTACTACTACTACTACTACGATACCACTACTACTACTACTACTACTACTACTACGATACCACTACTACTACTACTACTACTACTATGATACCACTACTACTACTACTACTACTACTATGATACCACTACTACTACTACTACTACTACTACTACGATACCACTACTACTACTACTACTACTACTACGATACCACTACTACTACTACTACTACTACTATGATACCACTACTAGTACTAGTACTACTACTGCTACAGACACAGATACAGACACAGTTGTGCTGATACAGAAACATGTGAATATTCATTTTCAGAGGAACTTCCTGAAGATCCCGACGATAAGACGGAGCTTCTAGCCATGAGGTGAGGACAGAGACTTTTACTGTGAAAAACACTTTTAAAGAGTGTTTTATTCTGAAAAACACTTTTAAACTGCATTTAAAGAGTGTTTTAATGTGAAAAACATGTTTTAAAAGTATTTTATTGTGAAAAACAAACTGTGAAACTGGTTGTAATGTGATAATGCTTTGAAGGGGGAGTGACTTAGCCTAAGGTTAGGTTTAAAAAAGGGACGGAAAGACTCAATGTGAAAAACCAAACTTATTAAACATGTCCGTACATTGTTTGGACATATTCTGGCCGGTAACAGCGTCTGATTGGTCAGAACTGTTCGTCATCACAATACTTTAATCATTTGATTTTTCAGTTCAGTTTTACATACTCACTTTTCACTATTTTTTTCCTGACTATATGACCCAATATATGGTTATGAATAGGATATTCCTGATTATTTTCATATTTACTCCATTCCTCATCCTGATTGGTCAGTCTTTGGTCATACTTTGCTCTGATTGGTCAGTCAGAGTATAATCCCAGTAAATGGGTCAAACTCAGAATCAGTGGAGCGTCACATCTGCAGACTCGTCCTGCCAACGCAGCGCGTCATTTTAAAGGACATTTTTAAATACATTTTTATACATTTAAAGTACATTTTTAAACCTGAAAGAGCTTTCATCAGAACTTCCTTCAGGACAATTTATCATTAACTTTTACCCAGAGAAAAGTGGCCTGGATCCTGTTTTGTTTTTCTGATGGATTATTTCTGTTTCACATCACTAACCCCAAGTGTTTCATCAGCAAGTGAACATGAGGTTAAAAGTTAAAGGTTAGGTGTCGGTTTGGGTAAGATCTACTGATGGTAGGAGGTTAAAAGGTTTTATAATGGTTTGAATTGTGTGTTTTTTTTCAGGGCATTTAAAACAGACTTGAACCCTCACATGATGTTTTTTTCTTTTCTGCAAAAGTGGAAGTGTCTTTTCAGACTCATCAGAGCGTGAGGAACTATGCAGGATAAAAGACTTGAAGTTTAACTCAACTTTGAAAGGAAAACATGAAACCATTTTTGATTCTATTCTTCTGATTGATAGAGCCAGAGGTGAATGTGTGAACTAACCCTAACCCTGACCTTCAATGGGGTCTCCTCCTGGAAGTTGGTGAAGTAGTTAGTTTCTTTGGAAGCACTGGAGTTTAGAACAAATCATTGTCATTTTAAGAGAACGGTATTTGCACAGAATCATTTGCATCAGAACTGGAAGTCAGCAGGGCGTGGTGTATACTGTAGCCCAAGATCAGTGCCTTTATCCAGGGAAATATTGGAAAAGATTTTTTGGGACTGTTTTTTGAGTTGGTTCTGAAATATTTGTAATTGTGGGCCAAAGGTGAGATTTGTGCTTAAATATTGATGAAGGAAATGTGTCTTTCTTTGCACTGGGCTGAATTATTGATGGTGGTGGTCAAGGAGGTCATGTGACATACGTTTTCAACAGAACTGCCCATAACAGAAGACTCATCTGCAAAAGCCCATCTGGCATCAGATCTGAACATTTCTGAGAACCACAGGGGTTGTTGTGCGAAGTGTAGCCCACAAACAGAGTCTTCTCCTGGGATGAACTTGTGCTGGAGTCTGGGAGTATGTCTGAACTGAAGCCCAGAATCAGCACCTTTTCTGGGCATGAACTCACCCAGGCTCCCCACGTCTGGAGGTTTTAGAAAATTAAGTGAATAATTTAAAAATCGATTTTAAGGACAGAGTTTTTTCAAGTTTTTAGTTTAGTTTTTTTTTTTAAAGAGATTTGGAATATCCTCCTGGGTTGGACCATGTGGGTTAGAGTCTGATGGAACGTCAGTTCTCCTAAAGCTCCTGCAGTGTAAATGTGTAAGAATAACGCTATGTATCATTTTGGAGTTGTGTACATTTGTGTACAGTAGAGTACAGGTGTGTACAGTTGTGTACAGTAGAGTACAGTTGTGTACATTTGTGTACAGTTGTGTATTGTGTGTACTATGGCCCCTCTGTGGAAGTGCATGCTTTCTAAGTGCAGTCCTTTGTACCGAGACGCGCTCTTCTCGTTCTCTGTGAGTGACAGGCAGAGGGACAGGGAGCGGCGCACCCTGCTGGCCGTCTGCCACAAGTACGACTTCACATGAAACACCTTTGTTTAAACTCCACCAACATTTTCATGCACCACAACAACAGGAAGACGGGAGGGCATCTGACACACGGGAGGACGGGAGGGCATCTGACACACGGGAGGACGGGAGGGCATCTGACACACGGGAGGACGGGAGGGCATCTGACACACGGGGGTACAGGAGGATGGTTTTCACTTTCAGTTTGAGTGATACGTTTGAATATTTTCTTTTATATCTGATTTCTTTTGTTTTTCTCAGACTGAGTAAGGAGCTGCAGCAAAAGGACCTCCTCATCCAATCGCTGCGCTCCAAACTGCGCCCAGACACGCCCAGCGACTCCAGCGACCAATCAGAGTGTATTTCCTATGTCAGTGACGAGCAGTTATCCAATCAGGATGAAGATCTGGGCTCAGAGACCAACAGTGAGTTGCAGATGAAACAATCACAGACCAGCGGCCAATCAGAACACAACATCCACTACAGCGTCCAATCTGATGGCAGTATAAACACACATGGCCAATCAGAGGCCTTCTCCAATCACACAGGTAAACACAACGCAGGTAAATAAAGTACAGGTAAATACCCCTGGGGGAACAAATGTCGGTGTGGTTATATTAGGGTTATACCCGTCTGATTGTCATTTTGCTGCTCTTTCATTTTGTCAGTATCACCGTGGAAACCATTTGTGAGCCTTTGTCTTATTTATATTTCCATAGTAAGAAAAATAAAATACCAATAGATCTAATTATAAAGTTTTATTGTACAATAATCAGGAAGTGCGCTGCTACCCTTTTAATTGTATTGTGATGTAAACTCCGCTTTGGTCTCTGAGAGTTGTGAAAAGTGATTATTATTATTATTATTATTATTATTATTATTAAATCATGTTTGGATGTATAAGGGAAGTGAGGAATGGACCAAACCTTGTTAAATGAACTTTGTCTGTTTTTCACATTTAAACAAAAATAAATGAAATAAAAGACATTTTTGGTTTTGCTGCAGAGCTTCGCTCCATGTTTTCGTCTGTTCCTCCGTCTGTCGCCTCCGCCCACAGCTTTCCCATGATGCACTGCTCCAGAACACTGCTCTCACCTGGACACGTGCCCTCAGGTGAGACATGTTATGAAACGCTCATTTTATCTTGTCATAATTATTCAGTCACACTTCGCGTGGCGATGGAAGGATTTTTACCCTAACGCTCTGTGGCACCTCCTGCTGTCTGCTCCTGTCACTCACCCTTTTTTCTGGTTCCTTCTTCAGCTCTGTCCTTTTCCTCCCTGATGCCCTCCCTCCTCCCCTCTCCTGTCTCTGCTCCTCTCCCTGCTCCTGTGCCTCCTCATGGGTCCAGCCTTGGTTCTGGTCTTGGTTCTGGCCCTGGTTTCTGTCTGGCCGAGGTCCATCAGGAGCTGCAGATGTTACAGAGGACACTGCAGCCCCGACACAGTGAGGTTCTATGTTGTAACAGCATAGTTTGTACCCTGATATACATACTGTAATATATACACCTCTGGGACATTATGTTTGGCTCCATCAGAAGATCCAGGTTCCTCCTCAGACTCTACAAGAGCTCAGTGATGCCCTCACACAGATTTCCATCCGGCGCCTCATTAGGAGTGTCATGATGATGTCAAACATGTATAAAAGCACGTGAAGGCCGCACAAGCGACTGAGAAGCAATTTGAGTTGAAGAAATTAAATTTAGGGAAAATGGCCTAGCCTGCTCCATCGTTATTTCACTTGTCTATAGATTTAAGCCTCTGTAGGCTGAAAATTTTATTTTTCATTAAGAGGTGGCACCCTTTTGTTTGTCAGACTTTCCCCTGTTCAGAGTTGTATAAATATCCTGCACATTTTTTCACATTCAGATCTGATGTGTTTTAAAGTGCCCCTTAAATAGTTTGAGTAATGTGTATGCTAATGATGCAACTCAAAAAGGTTCTCAAACTCTTCAAGAGATTTTGTCCAGTTTGTATGATTCTTCAGTATCTGGACCAGCTCAGACCTGATATTCTCTGTTGTGTGTTTTATACATGGAAAAACTCAAACCCTGTGTCTTCTGCAGGTGACCCTCTCAGAACGCCTCTCCTCAGGCCCATCGCCGCTCTGGCTCAGCCCGGCTTCAGCAGCTCCAGTCTAGACTCCGGACTCAGACCAGGACTCGCACCTGGACCTGGACTCGGACCAGGGCTTCCTCATAGCTGTGGTGCATTGTGGGATATGCCCTCAAATCAACCAGTAACACAGCAACTTTATCCCAGTGCCTCCAGCTACCACTCCCTGACCGGTAAGTGTGCCAGATGCCCTCCCGTCTTGTATCCCTGTGTGCCAGATGCCCTTCCATCCTCTAGTTTTCTGTTGCAGGTCCAGATCTTTTGGGTGAACACTTGTGTGAGGTGAGGTCCCTCAGACTCCGACTAGAGGAGTCCATTCAGACCAATGAGAGGCTCCGACTTCACCTGGAGACTCACCTGGACCCGCCCCCTAGCACAGGTAACCAATCAGAGCACAGGGGTTAGAGGGTTATGGGGTTCGAGGGTAAGGGGGTTAGGGTTTAGGGGGTAAGTTGGTTAAGGTTTAGGGGGTAACTCTGACTCTTAAGTGCTCAGATCCTCTTCATGTTCCAGCTCCAACAAACATCTACATCCAGAGTCCAGAGTCTACAGAGACCAGAGCCCTGAGAGAGACCAACCTCAGCCTGAAGAACCAGCTCCGGGGTGAGGACCAGGCCTAAACCAGGTCTAAACCAAGTTTTAATCAGGCCCAAACCAGATATGAACCAAATCTAATCCAGGACTAAACCAGGTCTACACCAGGACTAAACCCTGACCTGAGGGAAACACGCTTAAACCTGTGCTTTCCTCAGATTCAGTGTTGGAGTCAGAACGTCTGAAAGAAGCGTTCTTATTGGTCCAAACACGTCTTAAGGAGGTGGAGCTACAGGTCCAAAGGTGGGTGGAGCTAAGCCAGAGCAGCCAATCAGAGGCCAATGCACAGAAACAGGAAGTGACACGCCTGCAACAGGAAATGACAGAGCTGCGTCAGGAACGTCACAGGTATGACAGTTTTTCTATTATCTGTATCAGAAAACAGTTTTATATTAAAGACCCTCTGGAATAGAAAGAGAGTTTTCTTTTCTGTTTGAGAGAAGAACTTATTTTTGCAGAGTTGGTGTGTTAAATGTGATGAGGAAATACATGAGATCAGATCAGAGAGCAGCTTGACACAAGATAAATGTAGAGTAAAGATAAAATACATTTGAACTCTCTCTTAACCTGCCTGATGGGTCCCCTACTCCTGACATATTTAACTCAGAGAATAATGGGTCAAATGCAGATTTAACCCACAGAATATATAAAAAAGTGGACTAAGGGAGAGTTCAGCTCCAGTCGAATGACGCTCGTGATGCCGACGGTCACAGGAGCCAATCTGGAGCCAGGTCCAAATTAGGATTTTTTTTTTTAATGGACAAAATAGCGAAATTAAAACCCCAGGATCCTGTGTTGTGGGTTAATACGAACATTTCAGACCAAAATGCCAAGTCTCGCAGCAGCAGGTACAAAGAGAGGAGCTAGAAGATTGAGAAGTGGGAGTTATTGGAGCCAGAGCCAGAAGGAGCCAGAAGAGCCTCCATGCTCACTTCCTGTTAGCGCACTGGCTCTGTGTGTTTCTACAGTGTTTGGTTCATAAATGTTCTCCTGTGTTCAGACTCCAGGGGACCATCCAAGATCTGCAGCAGGAACTGAGAAACAGAGAGAACCAATCAGAGCAGAGGAACATGTCCAGGAGCCAATCAGAGACAAGCAAAGTGTCTAGGAGCCAATCAGAGAGGCCGGCACGGAGGAGGCTGCAGTTCACAGGTGCTTACATGTTTAGTTTAGGATGAATTTGAAGAATTTGAATGAACAGAGATTTTAAAACTTGCATGAGAGGTTAGATTCTTTAACCCTTCCAGACTGACAGTATCAAATACCTGGGAATGTGTTTTATAGAACTGTGAATAACTTTCCAATCATCAAAGATATAAACTTTTTTTCCCTTGAAAAGCTGAGAGTTGCGACTTTCTGAGCATATTTCTGTCATTCTCCTCTGTCACACTCGGTGTGATGATGGAGGAAAAATGAGTGTCCAATAGGAGCGTTGTTTTGGGTCAAACTCTTGCGCTTCGTCCATTTTGATTGGTCCAAACTTTGTAAAATTGTAGTGGGTTAAAATTTTCAATGCTCTGAGCGTCTGTGTTCAGAACAATTGAAAAAGTCGCACTAATTGCAGATGTTTCTCAAATAAATGGAACATTACACATCTTGGTCTGTGGAATTGTGCATCTGTTGCTGTTTTTATGTTTAGGTTTATTTGAGTCCAAATGTCCAAATCCAAATGTAATAAACCCCATGGAAATGCAGGAAGTGATGTGACTCTGTACCCTGGACCTGACTCCAGCTGTTTCCATGACCTGCACCAGTCAAGTCATGGAGACACTGCACTTTTTTTTTATTTGAAGCAATAAGGATATCTTGAGTTTACTTACAGACTTGATATTTTGCACTTTTGTAGTTAAGGCCCTAAATTCAGCATTTATTTTATGTGAAAAATGTTGTTTATATATGTTGTGTGTTTTGTATGAAAGAGAGTGAATTTTTATATTTTTCCATTTGTATTTCTGGTCCTGTAGCTTTTATTACAACCACATGACACAACTACAGCCGCAAATTGTAAAGTAACAGGTCGTAAAGGATGTATGACACTTCATTAGGGGTTAGGGTTTGTTTTAGGTTTAGGCTTTAGGTCTGGAAGAGTTAATGTTGACTTCATCTGGTGAGAAAATATCTGTTCTGAGTATAAAATAAAGTTTTACACCAAACAAGAAGCAATCTGCGGAAAAAGGTTATATAGGTTAAATATGTTACATTATTTAAGTGTCTTTTAAAAAATATGCTCTTTAGATGTTCTTCAGCCTCTGCAGCTTCATTCATGATTTAAACCCAAACATTCTGTCTGTTACTGCCTGTTCTTATAGACGCTCATCCAGAGTCCAGGCCAGACCAAGACCTACACCCAGACTTAGACCCAAGTCTGGCCGGGTCCACGGAGGGTTCAGGTGAGACCACAGGAATCTGCTTATCTGTTTTTACAGTGTTTTTTACTCTATGTTATTATAATATATTGTGACATGTCAGCTACTGTGTCCAAGATATTTCCCTTGTGGAGCAATAAAGTTTTCAGGCTACGTTCAGAATGCAGGATTTAATGCAATTCTTTTTTTTTGTTTTTGTGTTTTTGTGTGAAATCAAATTTTTTTTTTGCAAGGTTGTTCACATTTCTAGTTAAATGTGACTTGTATGTGATCTCCAGTGTGAACTTTAAATCCCCCAAAAATGTCCCACACACAAGCATTGGAGACACGACGACGTCACACACAGCGAGTGTGCTCAGTGTTTATGGAAGTTGCCTAAACATGGACAGCATCGAGCACCTGGAGATTTTAAAGCTGCTGTCGAACCAGAGCAAGAACATAAACAGATGATTTGTTTTAAGGAGGAGACTGAGAAGGAGAAGGACAAGGTTTTTGGCTGTTGCATCTTGTGGGGCAGTGGCAGCAACGTTTGTAGAAAGGAACATGTGGGTGCGGCGTCGCAGAGTGGAGGGACTGATTTGTGTTTAACTACTCTCGCAATTTAAACACAATTTTCCTATAATCTGAAGAACATTTGTGAACATTTGTGAGCATCTACTTGTACCCCCTCGCCAGAGGAAACACGTCTTCGGTGGCCTATTTCAATAAGCAACTGTGTTGGTGTTGAGCTGTATTGGCTCACAGCAGGTGCTTGTTACCGTGTTGTTATGACGTGTAGGTGGATGAATGCAACCTGCCCCTTCAGACTGAAGTCGTATGTCAAAAGACTGCATATATATCGGTTTTAGGAGCACATATCCAGGTGTCCTGGATTGAATTTAAAAATCAGAACTGTGTCATTCAGACTGTAATTAAAAGATCAGATACAGGAGCATAGGGGCCAAAAAATCAGATTTGAGTCACTTCAGGCTGCAGATTGAATGTAGCCTAAGTCTAAGAACCATTGAACAACTGTTTTTATCATCTCTGTGCTCTCTTCAGGTTCAGCTCTCAAATCTGGCCTGGACATCCAGACTAAGAACTCCATCAGACTGCAAAAGACCCTCCAGGACTCTGTGGACCTGATTCAGACCATAAATCAGACTCTGATGACTCAGACCAAACCAGGACTAAGCCAGGACTGCGAGAGGCTGATGATTCTTCTTCAGGAGGCCCTGAGTCTCAGCTACATAACCAAAAACATCAAAGAAAACCATCAGGTGAGAAAAGCCCCTGACCAAGACCAGACCAAGACCTCACCAAGATCCTGATTAAGACCAGACCAAGGCCGGAACAAGACCTGACTGATATCCTGACTAAGACCAGAGCAAGACTAGACCAAGACCTGACCGAGATTCTGACTAAGACCAGTCCAAGACTGGAGCAAGACCTGACCAAAATCCTGACTAAGACCAGATCAAGACCTGACCATAATCCTGACTAAGACCTGCCAAGACCGGATCACGAGCAAGACCCCAACCAAGACCCCAACCAAGACCCAACCAAGATCAGACCAAGACCCCAACTAACACTGGACTAAGACCTGACCAAGACCCTGACTAAGACCTGACCAAGACAAAAATCCCGACCAAGACCTGACCAAGACCCGATTATCCTTGTCTCTCCGATATGCCCCATTCAGAGTTTAAACTGTAGACTGTTCAGACTGTTTCATGTTTTTATGTTTTATATTGTATTATATTTATTCATTTGTATTATAATTATTTTGTTGATTTTATTGAACGCCTTTTTGGGCTCCTGAGTTTTGCACCCAGCTCTAGGATAATGATCGATCGAATGATTGAACAGTTGTTTAATCAGTTGGTTAATCAGTTGGTCGGTTGATCGATCAGTTGATCATCTTGTTGCAGGTGAAGGATCTGCAGGAGCAGGTTCAGTCTCTGCGTCAGAAGCTGTTGGATCAAGAACAGAGTCTGAATGGAAACAAAAAGGATCTGGAGAGGCTCATCCTCAGTCAACGTAAGAGTAACACTGACAGATACTGACACATACTGACACATACTGACACATACTGACACATACTGACACATACTGACACATACTGACACATACTGACCATGCTGGCCAGTACTGACAGTACTGAAGACTACT